CCTTAAGGAGAGATTCACCACTGCTCCCATCCTGCATCATCCCGATCCTGACCAGGAGTTCATTGTGGAGGTGGATGCTTCCAGCACTGGTATCGGCGCTATTCTCTCTCAGCGACATGGTACTCCTCCTAAACTGTTTCCTTGTGCATTCTTCTCTCGCAAACTCAGCTCCACAGAGCAGAACTACGATGTGGGCAATCGAGAACTCCTCGCTATGAAGGCAGCTTTGGAGGAGTGGCGCCATTGTCTCGAGGGAGCTAAAGGCAGGCAAGATGGTCTTTATTCTTTACACACAGAACACGAAAGCGGATGCTCTGTCAAGACTTTATGAGTCATCCTTGCAACCACCCTCCTGTGAATCCATCATCCCTTCTACCCTGGTTCTCGCTCCCATACAATGGGATATCATGACTGAGATCACAGAGGCCCAAGCCACCGATCCACCACCAGCCGAAAGCCCACCAAACCTCACTTATGTGCCGCGTGCTCTGCATCAAAGAGTAATTCAATGGGTTCGCTCGACTCCCAGTTCTGGTCATCCAGGTATCGCCGCCACTGTACAGCTACTCACCAATCGCTTCTGGTGGCCCACTTTGCAGACAGAGACTATAGCATACATCCGGGACTGTTCCACATGTAATGTAGCCAAACCCTCTCACCAACTACCTGCTGTCCTCTTACAACCAATACCCATTCCACAACGACCCTGGTCACATATAGCCATAGACTTTATCACTGATCTACCCTTGTCCAGGGGTCATACCACTATCCTCACAGTTATTGACCGATTCTCAAAGACATGTCGCTTGATCCCTCTGCCCAAACTGCCCACTGCTCTCGAAACGGCTGAATCCTTATGCAATTACGTGTTCAGGTTCTATGGTCTTCCTGAGGACATAGTCTCCGATCGGGGCCCACAATTCACCTCCCGAGCCTGATTGGCCTTCTGTCAAAAACTGAATATCAATGTCAGCCTCACCTCCGGTTATCACCCTCAGTCCAATGGCCAGGTGGAACATTTGAATCAAGAGCTCACCCGTTTTCTCCACTCATACTGCCACCGAAATCAGGTGGACTGGAGTCGTTATCTGTTATGGGCCGAATATGCTCAGAACTCCCTACGCAAGCCAGCCACAGGCCTCACTCCTTTCCAATGTGTTCTGGGTTTCCAACCTCCCTTATTCCCATGGTCCGGGGAGCCCTCAGACTTACCTGCTGTTAACTCATGGCTCCAACGCAGCGAGGAGACCTGGAATGAGGCACATGTCCACCTTCAACGGGCCGTTCGGCGAACAAGGGAGCAAGCTGATCGTCGTCGGCATGCCAATCCCAACTATCAGCCAGGTAAGTGGGTCTGGCTGTCTACCCGTGATCTTCGCCTGCGGCTCCCTTGCAAGAAGGTCAGTCCCAGGTACGTGGGTCCATTCAAAATTCTCAGACAAATAACTCCTGTCTCATTTCGGTTGGCTTTACCCTCCAATTATCGTATCTCACCCACTTTTCATGTGTCTTTGCTTAAGCCCGCTGGTGGTTCGAGAGGAGCGGAGGACCAGGAGGAGGCTGGTGACCAGGGAGCCCCTCCCATCATCGTGGACGGCGAGGAGGCGTATCAAGTTCACGAGATCCTGAATTCTCGTCGCCGGGGCAGGTTAATCCAGTATCTAGTGGATTGGGAGGGGTATGGTCCGGAGGAGCGGTCCTGGGTCAATGCAGAGGACATTCTAGATCCCTCTCTAACCAATGACTTTCATAGGATCCATCCGGATAAACCAGCCCCGAGACCCCGTGGAAGATCCCGGTGTCGTCTGCCTCCTCGTGTCAGGAGCCGCTCGCAGGGAGGGAGTACTGCTGACATTTCTGAGCGTATATACCTCGTTTGATTACCTGTTGCCTACCTGGATTGTTTATATCCGTCTGATTGTTCTCTGCCTGCCTCTTTGACCTTGCCTGCCTATTGGATTTGTTCTATTCTCTGTCTGCCGCCTGCCTCGACCCTTTGCACGGACTCAGGTTATGATTCTGCCTTGCCTACGTTACCCCTGTATACTGTTGATTGAACTTTGCCTGTCTGGTTGTTGTCAATTGTCATTCATTAATGTATTCAGCTAATATCTGCTGTTAATAGCACTGACAATTTTGCATGTTAATAAACACATAATTCACACAACATGCTGCTGTTGTGGTTATTGTTGTTGTTTCAATTGTGTATTTCAGATATGTCACATCCTACAACCTCGTCGTCTGCAGAGAGAAACTGCCATTCAACCCCACCAAAATACAGATAATGATTGAAGGGGTCATATGATGCTGCTAAAAAGAACATTATTTTGTGTATTTGTTGTAATGAAATGTGTTTATGCGGTAAAAGTGTTGTTAGAACACTGTCATTTTTGCTACAATTTTACATCATTAAAAAAAATAAAAGTACCTAATTGACACGTTGTTGTTGTTGATTTTATGGAAAACCCTAATAGACACTTCAAGATATTATAAGACCAGGCAGATAGAGGGGTAAAAAACAATATTAATAAATAATGTATACAAATAATACTAATATGCAAATAATACTACTATTAATTATATTAACACTAATATTAATGAAAAACTATCATTAAAAAGGTTATTTATAACACCAATAAGGTCCTATATGGCATTTTCAAAGCATGGTTCTATATGGAACCCTATAAAAAAGGTTCTATTTAGCACTAAAACGGGTTCTGCTATTGTTACAAGCCTAAGAACCCTTTTCTGAAACTGTTTAGAACCATTTTTCTTAAGAGTGTAAAGAATGTAAATTAAAGCTTAAACTTTAGCCATTTCTTTTATTAAGCTGACCAAAACACTCCAAAGCATCCCTAAATGACCTAAATGAATCATCTGTAGGCAGTGGACCCTATTTCTCTGGCATGCAGACTGTGAATATCAGTCATGGTGAAAAAAGCTAAAAGCGTTATTTTTTTATTATTATTATTTTGCCTTGTTGATCCCTTCACAGTGTACATACAGTATAGTAGGCTATGCAAAGAGGGAACAACCTCTGATTCAGTTGAGAGTGTATTCATTGAATTTTGGATTATACACTGTTAAAAAATTTTTTTACATTTACAGTACAAGAACGGCAGCTGTGGTTGCCAAGACCTTTACTCTAAAATACGGTAGTAGCATTTTAAGTTTTACAGATTAATAAAAAAAAATATTTTAGTACATTAACAATTTTTATATGCTAAAATATTGTTAATGTACTAAAATACTTTTTTGCCTTCATAATCAGACAACCACCTTCAAAACACAGGTGCAATAAACACTAGATTAAGTACCTAAAACCCTAATGTAAATAACTTGCCATACGAAGAAACCGTTATTTCAATGAAAAACCATCAAATATGAAGTGTCATAGAGAATTCTGTGAATGTCAATTTTCAGATTTTTTACTGGAAATTATGAGTTTAACTTGTAAACTTGTAAACTCTCCTATTAGATCTATTACAGTTGTTTCACCATAAAGGAAGGAGACTACCATTAACCATTTAACAGGTTTTTTTAGTGTAGCATTTTTACAGTTTTACCATTAAAATTATGATTTTTAAAATCTCATTCATTTGATTCCTATCTCATCTGATTAATTTCTGTGCATGGTAAACACTCAAATACTCTGTTCTACAACTCAGAAAAGAGGAGTGATACAAACAGTAAAACATTCCAGTGCTGTTATACTAATGGTATTCTAATCACTATGAGATTCCAACTTGTAAACACAACCTAGTAAAACTCATAATTTACAATTTGTAAAGTCGGAATGTTTGAAAAGCTCTGATTTCTCAACTCATAATTACAGTAATTCCAATAAGATGTGAATGCACCATAAATATCAGCACTTTTGGAATGTTGCTCAGCCAGTCAAATTTGGGAATGGGACTTACTGTTGTATATTCTCATGCATTGCCCTTTTATTCATTTTTACAGGAGGAGGACTTTCAGGATATGATTACCAGTGCCCAAGCCATGGAGAATAAATATGGCCACTTGTTTGAGAAAGTGATAATCAATGATGACCTGGCCATGGCATTCACTGAGCTGAGAGACGAGCTCACAAAAATAGAAACAGAGACTCATTGGATCCCAAATACATGGGCTCATGTCTGAAAAAGCCATTCATGTTCACTGAACCACTTAGCCACATGATAACTTTTGACTATGTTTTGGAGATTTTCTGCATATAAAAAAGGCACACCATATTATTGTAATTATACGCTTATAAGTAGTGTGTGCTGGCCGGTCATGAATCAACTCCATTCATAATCGCCAAACTCATGACACTGCACTGAATTTGAAATAGTTTTGTTTATGTTGAGAAACAAGTAATTGTAAAGAATTTTTATCTGCCCCTAATTCCTACATAATGATATACATTATGCTGTATTACTAGATTATTTCTATACGCATATTGCTTTGTGCACTGTTGTGGCTCATGTCTTCACATTAATCACTTAAAGACGTGGATTTTCCATTGAAAATATGTGTTCTAAATTTGGTTTAAGTGAGGTGGAGCACTACAGTTTCTTTTTTTTTTTCATAAATTGTGACTACAAGATTGAACTCTGGATTAGACCTCTGAAACACATCCAGGTAGCTCTATGTACCGAACAGTTCCAATCCAAGTTTAGATTTGTTCCTGACATTGAACTCCACGCTTTACAGTGATTTAAATGCCTTAGTGTTCTTGAAGAACATTAACATTTGCAGGTATACAAGGTGATCCACGATTCAACCTCTCAAAAGAATCAATCCAAAGCAACTGTTTTTTTAAGGTTTAAAACTAACAAAGAGCAATTCCCATGGCAATTCCTCCCAAACATTGCATTTAGAAAGGTGAGCTGACATTGAAGTTAAGAGGAAGACGCTTGCTCAAGGTGACCTTAGTTGTTCCTGCAGAAGCCAGGAGAGGAAGTGGAGTTTATTTTCACCAGCACTCAGTGTATTAAAGTGGAATTAAAGAGTAACGGGAGAGTTCCTGGGGTTACATTGGATGGTTGCCTGGTCAGCATGAGGGACAGAACTCCACACATACCTGCCTGTACCTTTCTGTGAAGCCAGAATGAAATGAAGCTTTAGATGCAGTATGTCAGGGTTTTTGATCGAAATTGTGTCAGATTGATAAAAAAATATCAGTATGTTGTGTTGTGTCTTTATTCTAAACTATTCAGCATTTTATGAATTTCATGGATTTTAGCTGATTTTAGCCTTTCTCTGCTGCTTTCCACCAATTGTGGTTCTGTTCATATGGTACACATCAACCAAACTTGCTCTCACAATTTGGTTTGGACTCCTGTAAATATCAGGCACTTATAGAATGCAGAGTCACTCTCTTTCATAACTCTGCATGAACATATGTATACATTGTGTAAAAAAAATTTAAAATAAAAAAAGCAAGGAAAGAAACATCCTCCCACTTTCAACTGTTTTTTTTTTTTTTTTCCCCAGCAAACGTCTTAGGCATAAACTGAACAAGTCTCACAGACATTTGACAAACTGAAATGGAATAATGACACATGGTTACATGTGGTTTGCCGCTGGAAGGACGATCAGCTGTCCTTCCTGTATCCCTATAGCACGTGTGTTAGGTTTCTTACATTGAAGCTGCAGTTTGTAGCTCTGGCCGCATCTGCAGTCCTCAGTGCCTCCCTGCAGCAGAACTATGGCATGTTCACGCAGGTGAGCAGAGTCCCTGGGCATCTTTCTTCTGGTGTTTTTCAGAATTAGTACAAAGGTCACTTTAATGTCCTAATGTAGCCTAACTGTGACCTTAATTGGCCTTAAACTAATCATATGATTAGGATCACTTTTATGATATGTCTGATACATTATTATTCTTAATCTCCTCAGTCTTTTAAAATGATTTTAAGTTTTTATTTTTTTTATTCATGTAATGTGGTGTAATATGGCGAATATATATCCAGGTTTCCTGAATATTGAAAGGGAAGTACCTGTTTTGGTATATATAATGTTGTTGTTTCAGTACCTTTATATGTATATCGTGGAGATGGTTGTCATCATTTCATAAATTACATTAATCCTAAATATTGTCATTATTATCAGACAAACATATAGGCAACATTGGTTTGTCTGTTTTTCTGTTTTGTTGCCTATCTTTCAATACTATGGGATTGGTTGGCACAAGTGCACAATATAACTTTAGTAATGAATGAATGAATGAATGAAAAGAAAGAAAGAAAGAAAAAGAAAGAAAAAAGGAAGAAAGTACGAACGAACGAACGAAAGCCTTAGTACCGTGATAGCTGATTTGGACACAGAAAGGCTATACTGTATGTTGCACATTATCACCACAGTCAAACTGCTCTTCAAAGTTTAAAAGTAAAATACAATTATCTATCTATCTATCTATCTATCTATCTATTTTATTTCTTTCTTTTATTTTTTAAAAATCCACCTGCTGACCTATCAAATTCAATGACCTCTTTTGTAATAACGAAATTACATCCAGCCTTTAAAGCTGAGAGTACTGTAATTTTCCACTCAAAATTTCCATGTATCTGTGGTGGATGTGAAATGAGTTTATCAGTCATGGCTCATCCAAATGTCAATCAATTTAGTCTTTTTTATTTTTAACTGATTTATAATGACTAGAAAGAGGCCGGTGTAGAAAGAGAAATCTGGATGAAGAGATGGATACAGTATTTGTCTGGTTTTGTGTGGAGGAGCTGGATGGGTAGACAGCCCAGGCTTTGTGGCTTTACGAGAGGTCAGGTTCCTTCATGGGCTCACGTCATTGCTATTAAAGGGCTATCTGAACAGCGAGGCCCGAGTGTGTTAAAAAGACCAGGATACTTCATGCGCGCACATGCACACAATGAAAATGCCAACAAAAATATGGCAAGCCCAATAGAGCTGCGGACAAGGGTTTAAAATAACTGATTGAGTTAAATATGCTACCATAATTCATGGTGAACATGAGATTTGTGCTTTCCTGATTATCACAAAATACAGCAGCAGAAGCAATGTAAGAACAATGTTAATGAAACTACAAAAAAACAAAGCACACTTTATCCCCAATGTCAAAACTCGCCCAAAACTATAGCCAGGCATTGGCCATCATTAAATTAAGGCCTGTCTCTCAGCAACAGAACGACCATTTGTGGTCAGCAGTGAAATCAAGTCAACTACTCCATGTTTACAAAATCTAATCACGCAGGGATGAAGTTATTTGATGGTGGCTGTTTCAAACATATTTTTAGCATAAGATATTCAAGATGGTGCAAAATACAGAAGGCTAAATAAGTGTACTCTAAACAGTGTCCAGAGGGCCACACCTTTCTCTGGACATGCAGCACAGAGGTTGTACACCTTATTGCCAAACCTCAGATACTTAGAGCCATACTGTAGTTACCAGAACTCTTGTTTCATGTAAATATTGAGAAAAAAGGTACAAAAGCTGTCACTGGGGCGGTACCCTTTCAGTCTGTTTTGGCTCGGTTCAATTCGATTTGGTGAGCTGGTTCATCCAGTTCACTAATGGAGCTTTTCCACTGCATGGTACGGCATGGTACGGTTCACTTTTGGGGGGGTTTCCAGTGGGTACAGTACCTGGTCACTACCTGCGTCACTGAACTTGCGACACAAACACAACAGAACCGCTAGATTTAAATCAGCACAGCCAGCGAAGGATCGAACGCATCTGTTTTGAACAAGCGCACCTTTTTAAACAACCAAAAAGTGGCTGTTTCGTTGTCTGTTGAGGAAGTACAGACATTCCTCTCGTTGATAGCAGAGGAGTGGATCCAGCGAGAGCTTGATGGGGCGACGCGGAATAAAAAAGTTTTTCAGGAGTCGCGGCAATAGAGGCAGCGCAACTATAACAACATGTGAATAATCCCGTCCACTCTAAAGCGGTACTGAACTGCAGTGGAAACGCAAACCGAGCCGAGCCGTGCCGTGCCGTACTGAGCCGTGCCTAGCCGAGTCGTACCACGCAGTAGAAAAGCGCCATAAAAAGAACCTGTTCAAAAGAACGATTTGTTCGCAAACCAGACATCACTCTGGACCATTTGCCTGAGGCTATGGATTGCAGATAATAATGTTGTAATTAATGTTCAGTTTCTTGCACAGACTAATCGATTCACCTCATAAGACAACAGTTTATCTTCAGGAGCCATGGGTATTAATTTTGTGTTGCCTGTATATGCTCAAAGTGATGGTAGCCGTGAATCACCAAGGACCACAGTTTCAGCTTAAGGTGAGTAAATTAAGAGCAATTGCTCCTTTTTGGGTGAACTATTCCTTTAGCTTTATAGACTTTGCATTTTCAAAATATCTTTTGCGTTTCCACTACTGGTTTATGGAAAACCACATCACTACACAGATCTCAACACTTACATGAAACACAACAGTCACAGTAATACTGGCAAAAGGGCCAACACTGCAACCATGTTATTTATTTATACCCAAGTGCATGCTGGGAACACCAACACCCTGCAAAATCAACATCCTCGCAGCTAGATAGCCCAAATTATTTGGTAAATCTGTGGCTTATTTCAAATGTATTTATTTATTCATTTTTACAAACTCTAACTCTAGGAATATACATCTATTGTTTAAAAAAATAAACTAAGATGCTTCAACTAAATCTAAATAATATTCATCAAAATTGAAACTGCTTTAGGTTTGGAAAAAAACATAAAAGATAAATATTTTAAGTTCAGCAAGTTCTTGTGCTCGGTGACAAAATGTGCACAATTTGAATGTTTTTATAGTAGCAATAAATCAATAAAATAATAGAAAGCGGAGTTGTTTAGTTCAACAGTCCACAGATCCAATTCCAAAGAAAGGCTCCAGAAACAGGCTGCTTTTGTACTAGCAAAATGTTTTATTTAGTCTTTCATAAAGTTGTCCCACTGTACCGCATCTGTGTTGGCTCAATGCAAAAAGGCTTTGTGATTTTGCATGCTAGAGCTAGCAGTCTTTTAGCAGCCCATTCTCTCTTTCCAAGTATGGATTAGTTAAAAACCACCACTCCTCCCTGACCTTAGAAATGTTTCAATATTTGTTTATCAAGGCTGATAAGAGCATCTGCACACCCGCTTACATGGCTGTAGTGCACTACACAGGTGTACGTCTAGGTTTTCAGTAAGCTGCTCACCCTTTTTTCCAGTGGCATGATTATGTTGGCTTGGAAAGTGAAAAATTCCCCACAAACTTGTACTGTTTAACCTAGCACGCATAGACTTCTGTCTCTTGCCGCCAAATGGCAAACTAAAGCGTGTAATCATTCTGACAGCTGGACAGTTTCAATTAAGCATTATTTACGGAGACTTGAGGAATACAAGACACACAGGAGAAGCAGAGGGATTCTAAACATATTGAAAGACAATCACAACAGATCCAGACAGAACGGGCCATTCTTACAGCTGACTGGAGCACATGAGATTGATTATGAACCACCGTACACTGGGTGAATCTGACCTCACCATCATGGTAAGCAATTCTATGATCAATATGGGTAAAACAGACCACCTCTTAGAACAAAATATCCTTGGTATGGAAATATGCCACAAATATTTCAATTTTATGAGAACTTCACTTAAACTTGAATCACCAAGCTCTGACCAACTGTGCTTGGGTCACAACCATAACCGTCAAACCACCATCGTGTGTGATTCATTGTGTCCATTCATTTAAAAACACAAATGCTCATTTTGGTATTTTGCCCCCCGCTAGTAAATGAAAGAGCTTGCGGTTGTATTGTTGGGCTCCACCTTCATGAGCACGTGAC